TCTTGCTCTTGCTAGTTATAGTTGCTATCGTCGTTGATTGTCGTCAACCTTGACGTGCGACGTACGGTGCGACTTGTGCATGATGAATATTGGAACTGAAAAGAATTCGGAAAGAAATGCTCGACCGAATGAACCGAGGTTTACCCGAAAACAAGATTTAACTAAACATTTTAGTAAAAGCTAAACAAAAAATTGTTGTGGGTAATAATAATCTTTTTCACAGTACAAGTAATTTTAGTTATCATAACTCAATACTTGAAGTTATTAAACCCAGAAGGGACCTCTGTTGTCCCAGCAAAGAATTTTAGTAAAACTGAATAAACAACAAATGTTTCCAATTGCTACTAATAAGAGTATATTAATCACAACTATTGAGGAAAAAATAAAAAAATTTGCTGCAGTAAATAACCATGGTTTGTTACTACAATTACATTTTCGATTATTTTTATTAACTAAACAGTTTAGTTGGCAGTATTTTCTCAATGTAGGATTGAATTCATATTAACATGAAAAGTTTGAGGGAATAGTCAGAAACATGAAAATACCAGTGGCGTACACTCGGATCGACTTATGAACGAATGGAGAACCACACGGAAATATACAAAACTTTATGATTATTCAAAAACTGTACATAGGATTTAATTCATACTAACATGGAAAGGTTGAGGGAAAAGTCAGAAACAGGAAAATACCAGTGGCTTACACTCGATCGACCTACGAACGAATGGAGAGCCTGAGGCAGGAATGGAAAAATATATAGAAACCAAGATTTAAGAGTGGATGAGCTGTTCTAGGACTAATTTGGGTTATTTTGAGTAATTCAAAAAAAAAAGAGCAATGTTTTCATAGTTTAACGACAGTCTTTTTAAATAGATTTTGTTGGTTTAATTATGTGTAGCAAAACGCCTCAAGTACTCTATTTAATTAGTTAGATGGTAAATGGCGAGCGGTATATTGATGGTGTTTATTTCCTTCAGCTGCTACCTATAAAAATGTGGAGGGGTCTATTCGCAAAAGAGAGAAACAAACTATTGAGGTTTACTAAATTAAATTTTATTATACTTAAAACCAAAATTTTTAATAAGCAAATATCTTTCTATTCTGACAGCCACTTCTATTTTTCCCAATTCAAATTATTTTACATCTGTTCAAGTTTCATTACTACGGACCAGGAAATATCCATACAAAAAAAACGCCTTATATTACTTCTACTATTCTTAATAACTTATAAGTTTATACATTACAACACTTCCGATTCACTTGCCTATTAAAACTACCTTTCACCTATAGGCTATAAATTCTTAAAAAGTCCTTTACTGACTGCTTATGCTAAATAATTATTGGATTAAGTATATATGTTCTACTATTTATATTCCTATAAAAACCTTACAATAATTTCAACATGAAAAATAAAAACCCTAATTCAAAATTTCAGCACTTAAGGTTATCAATGTTTCTTCATGAACAACAATTTTCAAATAAAACTGTCCAATACTTCTAATGATTAACGTCAGCAATTGTATTTCCTGAAGAACAACAGTTTTTAAACTAACCTTTTCATTACTTTTAAAGATTAACGTCAACAATCTCATTTCATGTGACAAGTTTCTTTCTTCCCATTTCATTTAATGGTTTATTTGACAGAAAATTACTATTTTCGGATTCCTAGCCAATAAACACAATAATTTAATTAATAATTCCTATTCAAAATCGTATATTGTTAAGAGCATTATAATTTTCCTTTGTTAATTCTTTGCAAAATTCAATTTAAATGTCATTATACTCGAAGGCAATTAAAGTTATGCAATAAAGTTTTTACAGACAAATCACTCAAGTTTTTATGCATTAAAGTTTCAATGTCAATTCACTTCTTATCATTCATCATTTATAGTCAAAAATAAAACTTGTCACTATAGAGTACTTACATTTTGTCCATTAAACACTAAACTAATCTTATTTAATTATTTTGATTACTTGAGAGCTGGTACATAATGTTGAATGACTTTAAATGTTCTTTCTTTCACAATTTTCTGTACTTTTACCAAGATTCGATTAAACGCGTTTCTCCAGAGGCAAAAATAAAAGAAACTCTTCGCGAATTGTATCCGGACTATAATAATAATATAACGAAGAAGTTTATTTATCAAGTTCAATAATTCTACAGACTTTTCAAAAATACAATTTAAACAATAACCTACGACTATGATAAATAAACAATTCAATCCTGAAGTGATTTTTTCACTTGTTAGGGCAGTATGTTTTTTTTTGTCCTTATATTGAGTTCTGTCACAATCGGTATTTTGGCGTCACAATCGGTATTTTGGCGTCACAATCTGGTTTAGTAGTCACATTTTGGCTTTTCCTTATAAAACTTCACTTTTTCGATTTGGTATAGTGCATTATTTAATTTAATACTTATTCACTAACTTATATAAAATAGGTACATTTCCTAAGCTATTATTTTAAATAACTCATGGATTTCTGACCTGCTTATTTGTGTAATCCAATTTTTCAATAATTTTTTTCTAAATATAGGTAACATCTCTTAGGTTTTTTGGTAAGTAGTTATAAAACTTTGGAGCTAAAAACTGTAGACTTTAAACTCATAACTGGACTGCAGGCTGAAGACGAACAACTGGATTGAACTTAGCTGATCCTCCACTTCTAAAACCGCTGTATTTATATGTTTTGTTCCCCCAAAAATTCCAAATTTCATTATTCGATAACCTTCTTCTTTTATTTGTTTAAAATCGAATTATTATGTCGCAATTTCCTGGTTTATCGGGGTCAACAGATTTGGTTTTAGGAATTGGACAATATAACTCAAAGAGTACCGATACACGTGCGGCCATAAATCACCTATTTAATTACTTTGGCCTCGCTTTTAATATTTTTAAGAATTTGATTTAGATGATGACACAGGCTTGGTGACGAAATAATATAATTTTGAACGTATATAAATGTTTTAATTAATTTGGGATCAACGTTAATTTGTTTCATTTTCAATTTATTGATACTGATTTGAAATACAGGAAATTCAGTTTTCGATTATTTTGATTACATTTAATTTTTACAATAAAGTCATTGTAATTTACGGGTCTATTTTCCCGGGTCATTACATATGATTAAATACGAATTTCGAATGGGTGCAGCAGATCAAAATTTCTCCGACACGAAGATTATTAATGACGAGCCCTGTGTATCAACTCAAAATGTAATTAAACTAGTTATGAATGGAAACCTACTTACCTGATTGGAATTCGATTAAAGCTATTTGGCTCTTTATTAAACCCATTAATAATGGATTAGAAATAAATGTTTATTTTGAACCATATATGTAATTTTCACATTCCTTACTGGTTTGAAGGTTCGAACATGTCACTTAACTCTTGTTTACTTTAAGGCAGGCCGCAAGTGACTGTTCTCCTGTCACTTTTGGCCTAGAGAATTCACTTTCGGCCCAATAATAGTATATTACATACCGAGGTGGAAAGTGTTTCATTACTGTCGAAAGATTTTAGTTAAACCGAGGCGCAGCCGAGGTCTAACTAAAATCTCGAGATAGTAATGAAACTTTTCACCGAGGTATGTATACTATTTTATTTACTATCATTCGAATTTTGAAATTTTTATTTGAATTAAAACTGAAAAAATACGATATTTAACAATTTTATTTACTTTCGGCCCACGGGAGAACAAGTAAACTTTCGGCCCCTTGCGAGCCGTGGGCCGAAAGTAGAAGTCAAAAAAGTGACATTTTCGAACTTTTTAAAAGTTAGTAAAGTCAACATTACATGTATGATTGTGAATAAATTGTTCTTTCATACCCAAATACAAATCCAGGTGCAATGTTTGTATTTAGAAGTAGATGTCACATGTGTTTATATTGTTGAAATTTTATAAGATGACAATGTCGGTGTCAGACTGTGAAATTCCATTTTTATCATATTTTCACCTTATTTTTTTCAATAATTAATGGTTCAAAATAAAATAGTATACATAATTCGGTGGAAAGTTTTCACATTATTGTCTCGAGAATTGGTTGACCTCGGCGCTTTGCACCTCGGTCAACCATAGCATCTCTCGACAATAATGAAACACTTTCCATATCGGCATCGGCATGTAATATACTATTTATGAATGAATATTTATATCTCATTGATAATTAAAATTAATCCACTTCCAGACAATTAAGCATCATCGATCTCAAACCTGAAAATAATCTGTTTGTATAATAGCTTCTCGCATGGTTGTTACCTGCGAAATTATTTAGTTTTCCATTCATTATATCTGGCAAAAACCCTCTATATTTATTCCCGACGTGGATTTAGTATGTGCGAAGCGAGGCAGAAGGAAAACTCCCGAAATAAATTGCTTCTGCCTCGTGATTAAGGAATTCCCAAGGATTTATGAGACTTTTCCTGGATATTTTGAGACATTATTTTTTTTTTGTTCCAGAACTGAATACGTGATGTAATGTTCATGTTGAAATTATTGGCTGAATATACACCTACCCTTAGAGGAACAAGTTTACAATACTAGTAAGTAATAATTATTTTAATAACATTAATATACATTAAGTGAAAGTTATTTCCCCAATCGGTCGATCCATTTGGGCTTAAAATTAATGGACACATTGGGAAAATTCCTCCCTACTTTTCTCAATTAAGTGCAAATGGAAAAAAACTTTTTCGCACCCCAACCATCAAAAAAAGTTTCTAAATTAATTTTTTACTTGAGATAAAAATTGGGGGACTTCTAATTTTACAGATTTATGCCTCTAATATCTAATTAGTAAAATAACAACCTCTCTCCTGTATATAGTATGGATTGTTTGGGGTAAAACCGTAAATAGATCAGCGCCCTTTGACACAAGTTTAACCATCCCTTTGCCTGTTCCAGCGCGAAATCAGAAGCAATTAGATGAAAATGCGTGTATGGGTCGTCCCTTGGGTAACATCTATCTAAAGGGCCTCTTTTGAAGTTTTTTTTTCTCATCGGGAGGAGATAAATAAATCAATATTCCAGAAGGACAAACTATATATTTATTATTAAAATAAAAATACCCTTAATAAATAAATTATTTAGATTGTTGCTGTAGTTTTTCTTGCCACTTTCGCTTCATAGCCTTAGATTTTTCGTAATTTTCTCTTTGTTGAATTCTCCAAATTAGGCCTCTACATCTATCTGCTTCCTTATTTAAATCATTGCAAACTCCTCTAATCAGTTTTTCGAATGGGCTTGATTGTTGTACGCAAATTTTCGATTCCTCGATAATTTTGGTGCATTCGGCAACAGTGCTTGCTTTATTTGACGACTCCATTTTGATATTTAATAAATCCTGAATTGTATTTTAGTTAATTGAAATTAAATTATTTTCAGTATTGATTATAATAGGATTAATATAATGTACTTACCGAATGTTGGAGAAGTTCAAATGAATTTGTTTTTGTTTGATATTTTGTTATTTTGCTTGTAATTGGAATTAGCCTTCAAATAATTTGATTTTGATATGATTCAATTGTTGGGATGGTGGCTGGCCAACCATGTTGCCAAGTTGTATTGAAGTATTTCTGGAGTAAGTAATTTTTTTTAAGTTCTATGGCTATGAAGAATTTATTTTGGGTATTTTTGTTGACATAAAAGAAATTTGAGGCTTTGGAAAATGGACGTCAGAAAAATTGAAAAACAACCTACATTGCTTAACGCGATTTTATTTCAGAAACTAAATGAGCTGAAAAAATTTTTTTTTGTTGAGATTTTGTGTCCTAATGGTCATTTGATATCCCCCGAACTTCATACACCAAGTTTTTCCCAGATTTGAAGCCGAAATCTATGAAAAAAGGCACTCAGAAAAATTGAAAAATTAATAAATCACACCAAATTGCTTAACACGATCTTATTTCAGGAACTATAAGTGCAAATGAGCTGAAATTTTCAGGGATTGTAGTCCTTTACTGGGATAAAATTCAGTGAAAGTTTCTGCTTTCTATCTATGATAGAATTGGAGTTATGATTTAACAAACCGTACCTTTAGTTCTAAAATATCTGATTATTTGGAAAAAAGATAAAAATTGACATTTTTATTGGTAATCTAGGTTTTAGATTGATACCTATTATGAAATAAAATATATTGACAGATTGATCTCTGTTTGTTTCACGAGGGTTTGTACTTCTCCTGTCCTTTTTCAACATAAAAAAGAATTGACTGAAACAAATTAATGACGTGAATTTATATGAATCAATCTACGACAAACCTTTTTTCCAAGTTTACCCCAAGACAGTTATAATTTAATTGGGAACAAAATAACATAAAGCTGCGACTAGTCTAAATCGATAGGATTTATAGTCCTGATTAACATACTAAAAGTCCCCAAACCTCCCCCTAGGGGAACATTGTCAAAATGGCGCCGCCATCATTTTTTACTTAATTTACGTTTTACTTGAAAACTACTCATTTTTCGAGAAAATATGATAAGGAATAAATTGGAGAGCACAAAAAAACCTTTAAAAAGACTTATTTTTGAACTTTCTGGGTACTACCCTTACTGAGATAGGACCTGAAGAAGTACCGCCGAAATACCGCTTTCCACATACAAGCTAATATAAATGGAAGTTGTTGCGTTTTGTAGGAAATCTAATATAAATCCATATTAAACGCTTCAGAATAGCTTTTCCGTTATACTTTAAGTAAATTTTATTGTTTTATACAACAAATTCGACCAACGAAACATAATATTACTAACGTGTATTCTACCTACATACTACGTATACATATAGATATAGAATAGTATATTCTATAACAAGTGTGGAATAAGCGAAATTCTACACGAGTGTAGAATTTTGAATTCCACACGTGTTTTAGACTATACTTTTTCTAGGATTAGAATCAAATGAAATAACCAACAACGGACCACAGACTCAGATAGGAACGCCTAGGGTGATTTCGAACGCACTCCAAAATTTGATCTTTTAACGATACGTCAAGTATCAACATTGTCAAATAGCGTTTTCTATTTTCCATCCTCTTTTCATCAAAAAGGCTGCAAAGGATAATTGTGTTGCACTTCTTGTTCTAGCAATTAATACAAAAAGTATTTTTGAAGTTTTCCAAGTATTTCTGCAGTTTGCGTAGTGCAGCTGGTATAGAAATAGATAAACTTCCTGTACTCTCTCCTGTGTTTTCAGCTTGTAATATTAGATGGCGCCACAGGTGTTCATTCCATAACAAGTGATGGAATGAATATTCCTGCACTAGTGAGGGAATGAAGCTATTCCGTAATCAAAAACTAAGTCGGAATGGACGAATTCTCCAATAGTCGTAGAAAAACTTGTTTACTCTGTTATGATAGGTACAAACGTATAACAACAATACTTATTTAAACAGCAAATTTTGAAAAAGACGTTTTTCGCACGGCCGAGACAGTTTAAACGAGTTTTTTACAATGCTTCTCCTACAACTGCAAAATAAGGCAACCAAAATTGTATTTTGATGGAAATGATTAATAATTTCACATAGATGGGAAGCTAAAATATGCTATTTGGATTTTTTTATATCCGATAACTTTCCATATACATATAGACAATAGATAAACAAAGATGATATGACATGAAGTTACTGGAGAACTTGCTTACCTTTTCTATATATCCTTGAAGTTCAGCCAATCACACTAGACCCTACACCAGATAATAAAAAAAACAGTCGAATCAGCTGTTTGTGGTGGTCGTAATCGTATCACTCATAGTACGCCCCCTATGTTATGTAATGACTGGAAAACAAGAAAACACACCTGAAGATTTTTAATGAATGCCGTGAAAGGGGTTTTCACTAGCGTGCGGATAAGCCCACTTTCCGCACGCATTTCAGTTTTGAAAGTGTTACTTTTCCTCACCAGTGCGGAAAGGGAAAATATCTAAAATTGTATTTGAAATTAGTAGTATCAATTTTCATCTAGTACAAAAAATATCGGTTCATACTCGTGCGGAAAGTCTCTTTTCCTGACTTGATTGCTTGGCAGAACTCCGCTTCGCATCGTTCGGCCAACTGTAATCGCGTGCGGAAAAGTGACACTTTTCCGACGCGGGTACTCATATCAAAAATATGTTTTAAGTCACGTTCTTGAAATTTTATGCTAATGCTTTCCTCTCAAAAATAAAAATAAAAAGATCCTATTTGGGCGCTACTCCATCGGCTCCTATCTTGGTAAGGGTACTACCGCGAATGTTCCGTGGTACCTATGTACCTCAGATTTAATTCTTCGATTTACGTCTCTTTATATTTCTTAAAAATTGAGTGGTTTATGAGTAAAATGAAAATTAGGCAAAAAATTGTTTTTTGACAGTACTTCTTTGGCTCCTATTTCAGTAATGGTAGTACCCAGGAAGTCCAAAAATAACTTTTTTCAAAGATTTTTTTGTGCTCTTCAATTTATCTCTCGTCATATTTTCTCGAGAAATTAGTAGTTTTTGAGTAAAACGTAAGTTAAGCAAAAAATGTCAAAAATCCAAGATGGCAACGCCCCCTTGACAAAGATCCCCTAGGGGGAGGTCTGGGGACTTTTAGTATGTTCATCAGGACCATAAATCCTATCGATTGAGACTAGTCGCAGTTTCATGTTATTTTGTTCCTAATTCACCATATAAGAATTTTTAACTGTCTTGGAGTAGTTATGACATTATCGATGTCATAGGTATAAACCTTCATGAAATGAACCTTACATATTTATATGAACTATAATTACAAATGAGACAAAACTTGTAGGATTTGTAGTCCTCTATTACAACTATAATTTCCTCTTGAAACATACGACGCAATTTTGGAAATAGGGCCTTCATAAATCATGTTAAAACTTCTCAAATATAATTATTATTTGCTTTTTGGACGCATTTAAACCTAATGTAAAGTTTAAATCACCTCCTACATTAAATTTACTGACTATAGAGAACGAAAACTTGTAATTAACTTTAATTGAGACTTAATTCACCGAGATGAAATGCAATGTATTGACCTTCATTGCAGTGAATTATGTGCTTATTTAGCCAAACTATATTATATTTTTTGTAAGTATATAGTGATACCTATAAGTTTTACTACATCCTATGTCTCATATTTTTCTTCCATTTGATGTAATATTTTTTTTCCATCTTGTCCAAAAAGTTATTTTATATCCCTTTCCAAAAGGTATATATTTATTTTCCATTTTGAATTAGTCTCCATATAAATTACTATAGAGTGTTTTCGTTTCAAATTACTTTTTAATGATTTTTCTATTATTGTTCTAGCACCAATGAGGATGCGTAATGGAGTGGCGGCTCTTTGCGAGATCACTGATGGCTGCTTTAATTTGTTGCACTGCTCTTTCTGGCGTAAAAGGGCTCGTGAAAAAAGTAAGTAGTTACAGGGTGTTTTTTTATACAGGGTGTCCGGATATTCGACCAACAACGGTTGACAGGTGACAGACCTCGCATTTTTATGAAAATTGAGATAAGAACATGCAGCCTTAAAGTGCTTAGTTTTCAAGATACAGGGTGTCAAAGTTTTAGTTTTATTTTCGATTTTTGTCAATTATTCCTCAATAAAACGACACAGCGATGCGAAATTACGTATCGGGGGTTTTTTTAGGACGAGAAATACAAATTTATTCACGGTTTCGATATTACTGCTAGAGTGCGCCACCTACGGCACATCGAACTTTTTTAAATTGTCAAAACTTTTTTCCAGTTTGCTGCATTGATGTGAATATTAAAAAAATCGATTCTCCAACCTTTTTTACGTAAAAAAGGTGTACTTTATCTAAGTCCCTAGAGGTAACCGTTTCCAAGATAATCTTCATTGGAATTTCCAATGCATCGGAATTGATTCTAAAAAATTGAAGGAAAGAATTATCGGTATTCGCCCACCAATAATTGAATTAAACAAAGATATACCTTTTACGTACCTGATTTTTGAAATATTAGGTGTTAAACCTTTAAAGTAATCCCCAAATGCCCATAAAAATTGTTTCGAAACTGATAAGCAAATTATTTTCTCGTTGAAGGCGTCATAATTTTATCCTAAAAAAACTTCTTTAAGAAAATAAAACACAACAATGTTTTTTGATACATTTTTGACAAAGTAAACATGATTTTACATCCATAAGAAATAAACATTTTATTATTAAATCTTGTATCCTTGTTTTCTTTGTTTTTTAGCAGGTGTTTCTGAGAGCTGAACCTCGTTTTCACTATCCGCTATAATCGCCGCAGGATTGCTCATCCTAATAAGTCGTCGATTCTCGAGGCGGCAGCTGGTCTGCGAGTGACGTCACCACTATCAGCAACTGATAGTGGTGACGTCATCCGCAGACCTCGATGGATTTTTTGCGATTCAGGCAGTGCTTTTGAGTTGATTTTTTTGGGAATTTTAAATTTAGAAAAGGTGATTCCACGTTTATGAATTCGTTTTCTGGACTCGGATAATGCATTTTCTTTCAAGAGTTGAGGTCTACAGCTGATGTCACAGATAGTGGGGTCTCGTGGACTTGGAAAACACTTTCAGCTCAATAAGCATTCCTATATTACGTCAAGTGTTCAGGCGCGCATGTACCAGGAGCAGCGTAACATAACTAAATATTGTATAGTAGATTTTTATTTCGATTATTCCCGATTACATTATATTTGATTAGTGATTTGATTTACTACAGAGAGAATTCGTGAGAATTGCTACCTCATTCGCGAGATCTGACCAAAATCGTACAATCTTAGGAATAATCGTGAGATCTGGCAACACTGATTCCAGAACGTGTTTTTCGAAAAACATAAGCATTAGTTTGAATTATTTCGGCTGCAGCTTGAATTCGTGCTAACAAGTCTTCTTCAGTTTCAATAATAGTTCCCTCGTATACTAAGGATTTCATGTATCCCCACAAGAAAAAATCTATTGGGTTTAAGTCGGGCGATCGAGGGGGCCAAAAGTATGGTCCACCTCGACCGATCCACTTTTCCCTGAATTTTTCGGTCAGATAATCTCTAGCACCTACATGAAAATGGACAGACGCGCCATCGTGCTAAAACCACATAGGTATTTTCCCTAATAGCTATCGGCACGTTTTCCAAAAGCTCAGGAAGGACTTCCATGAGAAAGCGTCATTAAATTGGTCCATAATGTATGGACCGACCAATACATCAACAATTTCTGCCCATAAATTTGTGGAAAATTTATATTGGAACCCTCATTGTAGAATTGCGTGCGGGTTTTCATCATCCCACACGTGACTATTTCGTGAATTAAATATTCCTTCCCTCGTAAATTTTGCCTCTTCCGTGTATAATACATATTTGGGAAAATTTTGATTTTCACGGCATATTTGTAAGAACCAGTTTGCAAAATCCACTCTCACGGGATAGTCCTCACGTTCAATGCCCGCCCTGTTGTTCTAGTACTTAGAGATGGGTTTTCAAAAATTCTATCTAATATTGCCCCTTCTACATGGACACTTCTAGTAGTTCTTTGTCTCTACCTGCATTATTCCTTGTAACAAGTAAATTCCCCGTTTCTCGTAGTCTTCTTTCCACACTATTAAATGTTGAATGATGGGGTATTCTATGATTCGGGAACTTTTCTTCGTACAATTGTGCTGCTCTTCTACCATTCTTTCTGGCATCTCCGTATATACTAATAGCATATCAGTGAACTCATCGAAGGAATAATCCCTAATTTATGAATAGAATAAACTTCCAAAATAATTAATGAGAAAATTTAATATATAAGTAATCTTTCACATATGAATCAAGTTTTGCCACTATCAGTTTTACATCAAAGGTTCGCCAAATTGATTTTGTTTATTTTATTTATTGTAGCCCGAATACCAATAATTTTTTCCTCCAAATTCTTACATTTAATTCCGTTGCATTGGAAATTTCAATAAAGGTTATCTCGGAAACGGTTACCTCTAGGGGCTTGAATAAAGTACACCTTTTTTACGTAAAAATGGTTGGAGAATCAATTTTTTCAATATTCATATCGATGTAGGAAACTGGACAAAAGTTTTGATAATTTAAAAAAGTTCGATGTGCCGTGGTGGTGCCCCCTAGTAGGTGATATCAAAACCGTGAATGAATTTGTATTTCTCGCCCTAACAAACCCCCCGATATGTAATTTCGCATCACTGTGTCATTTTATTGAGGAATAATTGACAAAAATCGAAAATAAAACTAAAACTTTGACACCCTGTATCTTGAAAACTAAGCACTTTAAGGCTGCATGCTCCTATTTCAATTTTCATAAAAATGCGAGGTCTGTCACCTGTCAAGCGTTGTCGGTCGAATATCCGGACACCCTGTATAAAAAAAAAACCCTCTTCTTGAACAATAACTTACCTATTATGTAAAGTCAGAATTTGTAAGAAGTTATTTAAGTACAGGCTGATCTAATATAAATGTCGCGCCTTTAGTTTTTAACTAAAGGCGATTTCGCCCCAAATTTTCATCTGCTGTTTGGTAGGCGAATGGTTAACCAATTGGTACGTAAGCTCAACAATCTCATTTGAATTCAGTGGATAGGGCGTTTGGTACATTTTGACTTTGACATGTTTATATGGACATGAGAGAAAAAGAAACAGAAAGCTACCAAACCTCCATTACCCTTTCAAACCGCGGTATAGCATCTGACAGACCAAAGGGCCTACCAAAGTTGTTGTGACAGCATCATTCACCCATCCGAAATTGAATGGTGCCTGTTTGACAGACCAAACTGAGGCGAAATCGCCTTAAGTCATTTTTAGGCATACAGGGTGAGTCAAAAAAAATGCAGCAGTGTGAAGTTATATTTTTTTTAAATGGAACACCCAGATTTTATTCATTAATATACAAGGTAAAATATTATAATAAATCCAGATGTCTAAATTATTATTATTATTTTTAAAAAAATAACATATATAAGGATATAAGGTTATGTTGAATAAAAACAACGTAAAAAATCAAACTCCTAAAGAAAACGAAAAAATATGCAAACATTGCAAAAAATCTATGAAAGTTTTATACGATTGTGAAGTCTGTAATCTAAGCTTCCATCCCAGTTGTGCGGGCCAACGAAAAGCTCTAAATTCTGAAAATAAAGTTGTTGTTCTGTCAATGGCTTTGCTACTAGGCAATTGCCAGCCATAAAATAAAGTTTATTGTTGTTTACCAAGCAAAAGTGAGGTTAAACTTCCAGAAAATTCATCAAAAATACATGAAATAGATGAAAAAAAGCTAACGAGTGTTGTAAAGGATTTATTAAATGAGTTCTTGCAACCGTTCAGGAAAGCCACACAGTCTGATCTGGCTGAAATTAAAAAATCTCTACAATTTGTATCTGACAATTTTGATGATCAAAAAAAGCAAATAGACACAATTCTACTTGAAATGCGCAACTTAAAGGAAGAGAATAACTCACTAAAGCTCAAAGTACAACAAATGGAACAACAAATAAGCTTAAATGAGCAACGAGAAAAGGAATGTAACTTGATTGTATCTGGAGTGCCCAAGCAAGATGTTGAACCAAAAACTATTGTTAGGAACGTGTTTAAGGCAATGAAAGTTGAAGTGGGAGAAAATGATATAAAAGATGTCTATAGAATTGCAAAACAAGAAGATGCACCCATACTTGTGAAATTTAACAATAAAGATTTAAGAGTAAAGCTACAAAAAAGGATCAAAGAAACCAAAGGTATCAAGGTGAATGAGTGTGGTTTGTTGGGAGGTAGTACCAACATATATCTGAATGAAGACCTAACCAGATTCAACCAGCAATTATTTAAAAAGACGAGAGAATTCAAAAATCTAAATAACCTGAAAGCGGCATATGTTAGGAACGGTAGGATTTATTTAAAAAAGTCTGACCAAGAAAATCCTATTAGAATAAGATGTGAAGGTGACTTAATAGACCTATACTAAGATTAAAAATATAACGACAATATACTAAACCTGATGAATAAAAAAAGCACAAATTATAATATACTGTATATAAATATCAGAAGCCTTCGCTATAAGCTGGACGAATTAAACAATATTGTACAGGAGAAGAATGATGATATTCACATAATCGTATTAACGGAAACCTGGATCTATACCAATGAACAAAAATATTATAACCTGCCGGGGTATTCCTCAATCCACCATAGTAGAGATACTCGGAGGTAGAGGAGTGTACATCCTTGTTAAAGATGGCTTGGATTATAATCATATTGATTCGGACGATAGTAATTGGGACAATGTAAATATTGTAAAATTGTATATAAAAACGTTTAAATGTACAGTGTGTGCAATCTATAGGCCACCCTCAAGTGATGGTACTGCTTTTCTAAACATTTTTGACAAACTAATGGAACAACACAATAAAGATATAATATTTGTTGTTGACATGAACC